AGTCGATCGAGGGCCAGTTGGTAAAAATTTGGCAGCCGCTGAGAAGTGTGGCCTCATCAGAAGGGAAATGTACGGAGTAATGCAAGGCGATTTTATTGCTATCTTTATGGGCTGCAAAGACAGCCTCCGGGCTCAATTTATATTCTAGTTCCTAACTGTTTAGCCTTTTGACTCACAGCCCCATCGGGCTTCCATTTCGGAGTCAAATGTTCCTTGAGGTAGGTCCAAGGGAGGAGTACTTCGTTTTCAGTTAAGAGGCCAAGGTAACAGAAGTGGAGGTTCCCGCCTTGAAGGAAAATTCCACTACAAAATAGTCATCGGCCAGCATTTATGAGGTCGATAACCCTGAAAATGAGTCCCTTATAAATTTGTCCCAACCCTCCTGATGGAACCCAAGATCTGTCTGGACATTGGACCTTAGAAAGGGTTGGATGCTGGAGAAGTTTGGGGCTAATTCTGAGGCTAAGATATGTTTGCCGCGCCATCGTGATAGGTATTTGGGACTCTATTATTTTTTGAGATGGAAGGCCAAGGAAATCAATTCTGCTTGTTTGCCAATAATGGACTTCTTTTGCGGACGAAAGGAGCATAACACCATAAGAATGGACCAGAGAATGAAACCCTTGCGCTATCAGGAATTGTGCCGATCTTTGCTTCATGGAAAGGCTCGCCTTTGACACGAGTTAATTCAAGAGAATAGAAGAATATCATCAATGTAGGATGATACAGCATGTACAACAAGCGAGCTATGCTTAAAGTATACGTTACTTACATCAGTCACTTCTCTATGTTCTGCCCTTGAAAAGAGGTACTGTGAAGGAGGGACATTGGCTCTTTATAATGCAGAGCCATACATTACTTGAATAACGAGGTTCGCCGACTCTTCAATAAAGTGAACTATGGTTTTCCTTGACATCTGACCCTGAACGTAGGGCCAAAAGAATGGCATCAGGAATACAGAAAATGGCAAGGCATCTTGTACATCGCAATATCGTTCATGGTCAGCGAATCCCAATGCCAAAAAACTAGATTACCAGCGTGATATCTCACAGCTGTCCAGACAAACGAAACGGTTGGGCATTTTTGGATAGGAAGTGTGCAACACATAAGAGCTATGGAGAGAAAGGTACATATCTTAGGCAAGAATAGAGACAAGTATCTCATTAAGTACATTTAAAAGCTCTTGGCAACGCGAAATCGAATTTACTCAAGGGAGGAGGCCTTATAGAGATGGTAATATCAGGACATACATAAGTCACTTTATTCTTAGCACCACGTCGGAATTCCTACTTTTGGCGTGGTGCATATCCACTCCGTACATTTTACCTTATATATGTGTACTTGGGTTATAGGACATAGCCTCATGAGATGATCTTGCGCTTAGGTTGCTAATGAAGAGCTTTGTTGGCTAGTGAAGTTCACTATGACTATTGGTCGGTTGACGAGCATTCCATGCCTGGAAAGCTAAAGTCCAGGATCAGCGAGATGGAGCAGTTAACTCATGGCGCTAAGAACGATTATTTCATTTGCAACTCTTGTGGTATGCGATGCAAAGACGATTTGCAGGATCAACCGATACGCAGGGACTAGTCTTCTTACCAGAAGTAGAGAGATGGCAGTTTTGGCATTCTTATCATAATTTGAGCAGCTTTACAAAGGACCGAGAAGAGCTGAGACAAAGAATCAGGTTGGATTTGGTTCGTTGACAGAGGGAGAAGGGAATTTAGAGACAACTTCGAAGGTAGTACGAGAGGACCACGAACTTAGGACAGTCCTAAACCATGCCGCAGTCATATGAGGAGCTACGCAAGTTCTTTGAAGGTCTGAGCCTCAAAGTCCATTCTAAAGAGGGAGACATTAAGCGCTTGTGCCTATCAAGAGGATTGCGTTGGACTGTATGCCGGGTCATTGTTTGACTAGTAGGTTTTTATAGATGGAGACTTGGTCTGTGAGTGTTCATAACTCTCTGAGATGACCATGTAATGTATAGATCAGCTTAAAAAGATAAGCGTTTATGCATTTAAGTAACGGTTCTCATAGCATGGTGATAGACATCAAAGGCTCACATGAATTAAAGAGAATCACGTGAGGCGCATTCCAAGACGACTGATGTGCTACTGGAAATCGGCAATAGACAATTGAAGTACCAATATGATACTAGTCTAGAGATACGGAAAGAGGATATACTGATAGGTCACAAGACTCTTCTCATTCTTCCTAGGTTTTTATCCATAGTTTGTCTGGACACTTTTTTCAATCAGCAAGCTGGCAGAAAAATGGAGTGAATTTTCTTTCTTCCAGGCGCGTCTATGGAACATTCACATGAAAATGCGATTAAATCATCAATTCATCTATATGTGGTATTTTGCTCTCAGATACACGATTAGTACAAATAAGGGAACACAGTGTACACAGAAAAGAAGAAAGACACAGATAAGAAAGATAAAAAGAACAATATGATAAACCCGCTAGAGTCTGGACACCCATACTTAGTCAGAAAAGGTAAGGGCCGTGGCTATTGAGGCAGGAAAAGTCATTAATGGCGGAGCAGGTGAGAACAATTGAAAGCTAGAGAGACTGAAATATCTCCGATCAAGGTTGAGGAAGGTCAGGATTCTTTAAGGTGTCAGGAAAAGATATTGATAGAGGGGATAGCTCAGAAACTAAGTATAAGGAGAAGGAAGGCAGTCCGGAGAGAGAAGACTGGCGGAGAATGAGGGACTCATAGGTGTCAGGAATATTTAACTTATGAGCTGTTAAGAGGAATTTAATTATATACAAGTGTGAAGGATCAGAGAATGATGAATTGAGGACACAACTATGTGAGAAAGATATTCTTAACATGACAAGAAAATTAAGCCGCTCATCATTAAAGCCGAGGATATAAGCGACTTCTAAGAGCAGTCGGAGTGAGTTGTACAAACAGGCAAGAGTGAGAGTAGGATATATGAAAGTCCTCCTAGGAGATATACAGGAATACCAAGATCTCCTGAAAGTTAAGAGTGGGGTATCTGTAGTTTTTGCTTGGAAAACTTAAAAGTCAAATGACATTCCCAATTAAAGCAATAAAGTCAAACAGTCCGAAGTCAAGCAGAAAGTAAAAGAGTCCAAGAAAAATCCAGATTCTGAAAATGGAGATTGGATATTTAAATTAATCAATCCTTTTCACAAACAGAAACAGAGAGCAAAAGTGATGCATGAAAAGAGACAAGAAACAAGAAAGATACGGTTCGTTCAAACAGAGAGAAAGCAAGAAAAGAGACTATGAGAATGGGAGGAAAAGAGAAAGATACAGATCTGCTTCATACAATGCGTTTTAGGTTAACTATTCCTTTTGGTTAGTTAATAAGGGATAGGTGTGGAGTCCATGAAAAATATTTTTTATTATGTAATTTTGACCAGATTGAAATTGGGGTGCAATTTTTACAAGAAAGAAAAATCAGGGTATTTAAAGAGGTTAAAATCATTTTTAGGGTACAATTGTCATAATCTATAAAGTTTAGGATTTAATTGATGGTTTAGCAAGTGCATATGAGTGTGATTTTTTGGATGTTCTTCAGAAAAGTTAATCTAAATATAATATTTCCTCTCTCCCATTTTATTTTTTCACTATTTTTTTTATGTCTCAAAATGTTTATAAAATTTTAAAATTTAGATGTAAATAATTATTTTTCTCATAATAACATTTATAATTATTCATTAAATGAAAAATTTTTAGTATCTTAATGAATTATTAAGGGTTATAGTCGTGAACTACATATAATGACTCACATTACGCTGTCCTCTCCTCAAGTTTATTTTTTCACATATTTTCATTTTTTATTCATGTCTCAAAGTGCACAGTGTTTCAGGTTGTCTATACCAAATACTCATTTAAACTTTCACATTATAGTGATGCTTCAGAAACATTAGAGTGTATCGTATTGTGTCTTCATTAATACTAGCACATTTTATAATATATCTATCTAGAGATTGGAAAAAATCTTGTTAGAATAACATCTATACATAATACTTATTTATTATTATTATAAGTACGAAGGGTAAAAAGTGGAGAGTCATAGACATAAATAAATTTTTTTTACAATAAACAAATTACTTTTTTTCTCTAATTCTATGATTTATTATATTTTTTTTATTTTCTATATTATAGTTACTATCACCTATACCCTTATATATATGAGAATATGATGTTCAAGAATAAATCTCTCTACAACCAAACAAGTGCTTGCGGTCGTTCATAGCCATGATATATTACGAATTCATATTGTCTACGAATTAACAGAGTTACATCCATTGCCACAATATGCAACAACGCGTAGATCTAGCGGAAAGCATGCAATCACGGACGTCGCAAGTTGAGCCACCGGTCTTTGACACCATGGCCTATTATATACTCCACGCTACTCATATTAAGTCTCCTCTTGAATTCAAGTGTCTAGCGTATCAGACTAGCAAAGACTCATAGCAGAATAATATGGAAATAAACACCAAGCAGAGACGCCTCTCTTGCGTCGAAAATGGCTCATACTATAACTTATCACCGTCAATACTTTCCTCGTAAATCTTACCTCTACTCAACATTCCACTGATGTATTTATTCTCCTTCCTTGGCCTCATTCATATTCTTAATTTATCATACTGGACATTCTTCCTTGTAAAGGATACATTCGCTCACTTCATAGATTTCTCACTCTACATTTCCATTGCAAGCGGAAAGATCTCTTTCCGTTTCGCCAACCACGCGTCTCTACATATTTCTCTCTTCCATTCGCCATAGGAGTGGTTACACGTATACACTCGGTTTCTATTTTGTACCTTGACACCGAGACTTTTCTAACTGAACCGCCGAAGTTCAGATCGGAGAGAGACTTGCGCCCGGTGGTACCAGACAGCGCGATTCAGAGAATGAAACCGAAGCTCCTTTTACTAACACGAGGCAATATAAGGTTAACATAAACAGTAGAGACTATTAACCATATTGAAATTATGCAAATAAATTGTTAGTCTGGGAGTAAAATAATTTCGTAAAGACAGCACATAGCCGCCGTCGCTGCCACCGCCTTTGACCGCCAATCTCAGTATATAGTTCTTTTCAGTCTCTTCGCTGCAGCTTTCAATAAACGGATACGAACAGCTGCTTTTGCCTCGAAAATGGCCTCTTTACACCTCAATTTCCCTTCTTCCTCTACTCAACCACTTGTTTTTTCTCCTCTTCTTTCTAATTTCAGGACATCTTCCTTTAATCTTCGTTTATTTACTCATCCTGCCATTCCTTTCCGTTTCCACCACTCCAACCATCGCCGTGGTTCCCTTCATCTCATTTCCGCCGCTTTCTCTGCCGCCAATCAGACGGAGATTGCCGGTACAGACAGCCGCGATTCAGAGAAGAAACCGCTACTCGAGGTCAAAGATTTAACGGCAGTGATTGCTGAATCCAAGCAGGAGATTCTCAAGGGCGTAAATCTTGTTGTCCATGAAGGAGAGGTTAGAATTAAACCCTAACAATCTAGTAGGATTTATCGATTGATTAGTTTATAAGATTCACTCGAATGCAGAATTAAGAAATAATATTTACCCTTTTTTTTTTTCTTCTGCTTAGATTCATGCTGTTATGGGAAAGAATGGTTCCGGGAAGAGCACATTTTCGAAGGTTGGTATTACCTTATCTTATTTCTTAGAATAATTATCAATTGTTTTATACTTTTGAAGTGAAGTTGTGCAATATACTGTAGTGTATTATCAACTGGATGGTATTCTGCACTGATGAGAATTTTATTTTTTGCTGGAATTTACTTGCAACATATTGCTTCATATATCATTTACAATTTTAGTCAGCAGGAAAGATATATCTTTTAAAAACATTAAGCTTTTATTTACTATGTATTCATGTTTAAAGTAAATATAAACTCTCTTCTCCTGCTCAGAATTGTATTATTGGCCCTGAGATTTGAGACCACCTATTTTTTAGCAAGCTAACAGTACCTAAAAAAATGGAAGAGCTATTTAGTTTTTCATGCATAATGCTCGTTAGAACATTGGGATTTTGGAGAGCGTTATTTAAGTTTTCAACTCTAGATTGATTATAAAAATCATAACTTTTATCAAATACAAATGAGGCCTATAACAAGAATTTTCCTTTGAAGAGATGTTTTTCTTTCTTTCATTTTTTGGGATCTAGTGATTCCAAGAGGTATTATATGTTAAACAGCAAGGAACAAGCTCCCTTTGAAAAGCTTAGGGACTAAAGTTGCCCTAATGATTACTAGGAGTTGGCTTGTGGAAGCATGGACGGATGAATATGCAAGTAATTCTAAATATCGCTGACTATATAATGTAATTTTCAAAAGAATGGACCTGCAATACCAGTATGTCTGGTGGAATTCATAATATTCTCTATTATCTTATGGGGAATTCATTGGAAATTTTCTCCTGATCAAAATTGTTAATGAGGCCTCATATCTTGTAGGTTCTTGTTGGTCATCCTGATTATGAAGTGACAGGAGGCAGTGTTGTGTTTAAAGGGGAGAACTTACTTGACATGGAGCCAGAGGAAAGGTCCCTTTCTGGGCTTTTTATGAGCTTCCAATCCCCAGTTGAGATCCCAGGTGTGAACAATATTGACTTCCTTAATATGGCATACAATGCTCGAAGAAGAAAACTTGGTCTGCCAGAGCTTGGACCAATTGAGGTACAACTATGAGTGATATGTTGCTTCATGATGCATAGTTTTAGCATAGTACTATTTTACTTCATTTTAGATAGGGTACTTCATATCTGTGCGAAATTATCTTATTAACAAGGTAGGATTTTCATCATCTTCTTATTATTATTATTAGAAAAGAGATAAAATAAAAGTAGGTGTTTCATAACATATACTTGGTAAGAGCAAATACAGGAAGATGGAACAAAAGAAAAAGTCAGTTTTTTTATTGTTCACATGCACGATTCCTGAAGTATTTTTAAAGTTGTGAAGGAAAACAATTGACATTATCCTGTTTGGTACTGTAAGATAAATGTTAGATTATGTTATTTTTAAAATGAGTAATATAAGTCAAAATTCAGTGTCTTCTTGCTGGAATTGTGAGAAATGCTACTTTATTTTGTTTGGTAAATTACATCGCTGCCCCTAAATGATGTAGCTGAGTGCAATGGTCTATTAGGGGCAAGCATTGGTCTATACAGGTCATTTTAATTTGAAATTGAGCCCAAATGAAATAACTTGAATATTTTGAATAGAGGACTGAACCAAAACCAAATTAGATAAGAACTGGATCAAACTGAAAAATGAATAATTTGGTTCAGTTGATTTCTTTTTTCTGAAATGAAAAAAATTTGAACTTCTTTGTTTGGTTCATTTGTTTAGTTTGAATTGAATAATGTTTACCCCATCTTCTATCTCAAATTTTGTATGCTGACAACATTCGTTTCAAAATGGACATCTTATGATTTGTCTAATAAAAATTTTTGAGGCATGAATAAAACTAGAATTTTCTTGATATTCTAATGTGTTAGATGAGGTAGAGAACAGTTGTTGCCTGCGGAAATTATTCTATATAAAATTTCTGAAAAGTCCATTTGCAGTTTTTTGGGCAGAAAATTGAGACTTTACTTGGTGAATGTTTTGCATTCTAATTGAAATTCCAATAATTTTGCTCTTAGCCATAGATGCAGATTGGTAAGAAGAGTTGCTGATAATAATTTTTGCCGCATTGCAGTTCTATGCATATCTGTTTCCAAAACTTGAGCTTGTGAACATGAAGAGTGACTTTCTTAACAGAAATGTTAATGAAGGATTTAGTGGTGGTGAAAGAAAGCGCAATGAGATTTTACAACTTGCGGTAATGTTTTATATCTCTGTGTTGCTTTTATGTACTGATATTTTTGTTGTTAATGGATCAATACCAAGTAGTGTGTCATAGGCGTTTTTGGTGATTGGCTTTTCTAACCAAAATTTTATCGAATTTTGAACGCTGAATGGTGAAAAAGGATCCTTTAATCTGATTCGATCTAGGATGAGATTAAGCTCATTAGTTTTGGAAAGTTGTTTTGCAGTTGAAGAAAATTAATGTTTTCTGGAATATATATTGTTAAGTTCATCTTGAAACTTGTTGAGGAACATGCCAGAAAAACTGATCTTCTTTTCTGTTGCATTTAACTGGACTGGTGGTACAATTCAGGAGCTTTTTTTGAATATTTGGTTATGATTGTGATCCTGTAATAGCACATAAATTATTTATTATGTGTGGAACAAATGTGGAATGCTTCACGGCTTCATCCTTCTTCTTATTTGTGGAACAATGGTTATTTCCAATTTGGAAAAAAAAGAAAAAAAAAAAAGAAAATATTGTGCTAATAACTCAAAATTTCTAAAAGTCCATTTGGCAGTTTTTTGGGCAGAAAATTGGAGACTTTACGTGGTGAATGTTTTGCATTCTAATTGAAATTTCCAATAATTTTGCTCTAGCCATAAAAGATGCAGATTGTAAGAAAGAGTTGCTGATAATAATTTTTTGCCGCATTGCAGTTTCTATGGGTAAGACACCATACTATCATTGTTTCAAAACTCGAGCTTAAGATGAACAATGCAAGAGGACTTATCTTAACAGCACGCCAACTCTCTCAATGACGAAGAGATTTTAGGAATAAGTTTACCTTATTCTTGACGTGGATCGTAAGTGGGTAGAAGAGAATAAGCGCAAATGAGATTTTCTATCATCACTATGCAATCACTCTAATTAAGAGAGAAACATGCAAGAAGCATGAACAATTCTGCCCTTAGATTAATTTTATCCAAAAATCACGTTTTACATCTTAAGGAGCTATTTTATATGCGGTCTTATTAATTACAAATATAATCTCTGATGACTTCTAATAGAAGTTATGTGATTATACTGAATCACTAGTTGTTGTTAATGGACTCTAGACTACCTAAGTGTATGCTGACAACATTCGTTTCAAAATGGACATCTTATGATTTGTCTAATAAAAATTTTTGAGGCATGAATAAAACTAGAATTTTCTTGATATTCTAATGTGTTAGATGAGGTAGAGAACAGTTGTTGCCTGCGGAAATTATTCTATATAAAATTTCTGAAAAGTCCATTTGCAGTTTTTTGGGCAGAAAATTGAGACTTTACTTGGTGAATGTTTTGCATTCTAATTGAAATTCCAATAATTTTGCTCTTAGCCATAGATGCAGATTGGTAAGAAGAGTTGCTGATAATAATTTTTGCCGCATTGCAGTTCTATGCATATCTGTTTCCAAAACTTGAGCTTGTGAACATGAAGAGTGACTTTCTTAACAGAAATGTTAATGAAGGATTTAGTGGTGGTGAAAGAAAGCGCAATGAGATTTTACAACTTGCGGTAATGTTTTATATCTCTGTGTTGCTTTTATGTACTGATATTTTTGTTGTTAATGGATCAATACCAAGTAGTGTGTCATAGGCGTTTTTGGTGATTGGCTTTTCTAACCAAAATTTTATCGAATTTTGAACGCTGAATGGTGAAAAAGGATCCTTTAATCTGATTCGATCTAGGATGAGATTAAGCTCATTAGTTTTGGAAAGTTGTTTTGCAGTTGAAGAAAATTAATGTTTTCTGGAATATATATTGTTAAGTTCATCTTGAAACTTGTTGAGGAACATGCCAGAAAAACTGATCTTCTTTTCTGTTGCATTTAACTGGACTGGTGGTACAATTCAGGAGCTTTTTTTGAATATTTGGTTATGATTGTGATCCTGTAATAGCACATAAATTATTTATTATGTGTGGAACAAATGTGGAATGCTTCACGGCTTCATCCTTCTTCTTATTTGTGGAACAATGGTTATTTCCAATTTGGAAAAAAAAGAAAAAAAAAAAACGCAAGATTCTGTTGCATAATTTAACTTATTCTCAAATATAACTAAAGTTATCTTTTTCTAGTTCTAAATGAAATTATTTGTTTAAGAACCACAACGTCATCTGCCTAGCGTATAAATAACTGGAATTGTGTCTTTGGAAGTTCATCTAATTCTATGAAACCACTTCTTCCCACTTTGTTGGAGTTACCTAACAGATACAATTGAGTTTACAGTTTTACTGTACCTTGGAGGAGATTTGCTAAAATGGGGATTGAAATCTTCTTAAAGTTGTATCTTTTATACACATTGTCACAATTCTGTGCAGTTCCTACGTTCTAAAAACTCCTGCCAGAGCACAAGCTATAAATAGGAAAAAACTATTGTTTCTTTTTTAATTAGAATGAAATTTCTAGTTGAATCCTTTTTCTGACATTGTATTTTTGGACCGAGTCTTTTCGCTTTTAGGTTTTCTTTTCTGATTCCAAACTTTATAGCTCTTCTGGAAATCTTTTGCAGCTAAATGGAACTTCAATGCAGCCAATAAAGGTCTAATTCATAGAGCATTGACATCTTGATAATTGCCTAAGTTTACTTACGATTATTGCCTTGCACAAAAGGATGTATTTGAACTGAATGGTTGTAGATTCAGTTGAATCTAACATATATTTTCAAACTTATTTATTTTTCCTCTTTGGGGATGTAGGGGATGCAATATTCTCGTGCTTGACCTATATTTAAGCATTACATGATGAACACCTAAGTGCAATCAATTCAAATATTTAGGCTCGGTGTTCCAGAAAGGGGGCCTCATAGATGGAGATGTTTCTCATAGAATTCAAGTTGGGGGGATGAAATGAAGAAGTGCTATAGGTGTATTATGTAGTAGGAAGATATCTAACAAGGTTTAAAGGTAAGTTCTATAGGACAGTTGTGAGACCAGCAATGCTATATGGTAGTGAATGTTGGGCACCTAATATTACAACAGGTTCAGAAGATGAATGGTAGAGATGCGAATGCAGAGATGGATGTATGGTGACACAAGGTTGGATAAGATTAGAAATGATCACATTAGACACAAGACACAAGTGGCCGAAGTTGGAGATAAAATAAGAGAAGAATGCTTGAGATGGTATAGTCATGTATTGTGTAGACCCTCACATGCTTGATTCGCAAATGTGATACTTCAATAGTGGAAGGTGCTAAAAAGAGAAGAGGTCGACTTAGAACTACTTGGAGAGAGGTTGTTGCTAAGAATCTACGGTCTTTGGATATTAGTGAGGATATAGCTACAAATAGCATAGAATGGAGTTTAAAGATTTATATAGTAGACTTAAGCTAGTTGTTGTTGCTTATTTTATGATTTGTTCTATTTATTAATTTATTAGATGTTTTTAAAATTCCTCTTCAAATCTTTTTTTTTTACAAAAATTATTTCAAGATTTTTTTTTTTTCGACTTATATTTGCATTGCATTGACTTTAACATGATAAGTGTGGATATTTGAAACAAAAGATTCATATAGCTGACTCCAACTAGTTTAGGACTAAGGCTTGGTTGTTCTTGTTATATGATCAACACCTAAAAGTAACACAATGTATGCCACTGGTTCTTGATCTTTAAATATATCATGACATTTGTTTGGAATATCTATTCCTAAATCATTACCCACCTTCTATATATAATGCGCTTCTATTTTTTGCAGGTTCTGGGTGCGGACATGGCCATATTGGATGAAATTGATTCAGGGTTGGATATTGATGCACTCAAAGATGTTGCAAAAGCAGTGAATGGGATATTGACTCCAAAGAACTCTGTTTTGATGATTACCCATTATCTACGACTTTTGGAATTCATTCAGCCCACATATATTCACATAATGGTAAGCCATTTGGTAGAGCTTAACAAATTGTTTGGATGAAGGTTATTTGGTGGGTTTGGAGAGTAAGGTAAGGTCAAAGGTCATTTTCTTAGTTGTTTGGGAAGAGAGTTTGAGGGAGAAGATGGTTTTTTAAAAGTTATTAGAGGGGTTGAAAACCCATCTAAATACCCAATTTTCAACCCGCCGAATTGGAGTATAAACATGGTTAAAAAATTTAATTTCCAAAATTATTCATAGTTATATTTATAAATCTTCCATGACAATGGTATTTTTGTAATCTTTATATTTAACATCACCTTCGTGTACCATCAAACCAAACAAAACAATGTAATTAAAACTTCATTACCATACCTTCCTCACAAACACAAAAAAGACGTTAACTATACTTTTCCTTACCATACTTTGCTATATCTTACTTTAATGATGCCTCCCTCCCGTCATCCAAACAAAGTGCAAATGTCACGGAAATGGGGTGCAAATTATAGGAAAAGAAGATTGTTTCATCAAGTTTTGCATCAGTTGTGAATTTTAATGAATCTTTTAGGTGAATGATCCTAATGGTAGCTATTTTTTTCGAGTGATCAATTGTTGCTGTCATGGACGATAAGACCTAAGGGTGATGATATTGGAGTTGCAAATTCTTGTCATATCAATAAATAAGTATATATACCTACAGGTTGTGGCTTAGTTGGCATACAGGCTGGGCATATGGGAAGAGCTCTTGGATTCAATCTTCACTAAACTCATCTGTAGGGAGGGATAATGAGCTTTAACTGTAACTAAGCTCCGAATCGGATTAGGTGGTCCCTGATAATAGGCACTGGATATCAGTGGTTTACACCAAAAAAATAAATAAATAAATAAATATATATAATGCAAAAGGATCAATATGAAAATGACAAGATTAGTAAGTCTTATAAGAATCCAAATACAAACACACCATTTGTTTTTCTGAGGGAAAATATGAACACACCAATAAAACACTAAACTTCCCTCTGATGTAGCGACATTAACAATTAAGTTCGTCCTTTTTCGTAAGTGAATTAAATGATCTTCAACCTTTTGATTTCACCACACTTCAGTTATCAGATAATTATCTCTGTTGTCATAATTTGGAATGCTCACTAAAATAGTGCATTGAAACATTTGATCACCATAGATTATAATCTCATTTGTTGCTCTATAGTTATCAAATATTAATAGCTAATTGATGACAGAACTGAATTTTTCTAAAAAGCATGCAATATACCCAAAAGTGTAGGACAAGGTGATGTAGTTATTCCTTTATATATGCTAAATGAATGGTAACTAGGATTATGTTCTTAAGTGTGAACATGCTTTCTAATGTTTGCGGACTCTCAATTTTGTATTTATAAGTGATTCACTCTGTTTTCTTTTGTGCATTATGAATAAAATTTATACGTATTGCATTTGCAGAAACTATGCGAGCAGGAGTCTGCATTACGTTCTCTCTGTGTTAGGATAATATCTAAGTTTCCTTGTAGTCTATAAAAGATTTTTATGTAAACCTGTATATGCATTGTTGGACTATTAAGATTAAAATTGAGAAGCAAATTCTGGCATATATCTCTTTTTATCTCTTTCCTAAGAGAGCATCTATCTTGTCTTGATAACCACAATATTTTGTTTTTATATTGGAGGGAAAACTTCATAGTTTTATCAAGTAGACCCTGAATTGAACTTGTAGTGAATGGCTTCTCTTCATCTCTTTTCAAATACTTGATAGCTACTTTCACATTTTGTTTTTTCCAATTTGCAAATAATTGGAAAACATTATATACCAACATAAGAAGATACCCACTTTGTTTTTTGAGATGCACCATATGTCCTTATCTGACTTTCTTAGAGCATGTGAACTGTAATATTGTATCTGTATTGAATGTTTTTGTTTTATTTGTGATATTGCTATTTTAGGAGGGTGGGAGAATTGTAAAGACGGGGGATATCTCTATTGCAAAGACTCTTGAAAAGGAAGGTTATAAAGCAATCTCTCCCTCCTAATTGCAGGTCAATTATAATAGGTACTCTCTCTCTCTCTCTCTCTCACTGAAGGAACTTAGCTTGCACTTGTTAATTTCACTTCTCTTTGTTTGTAATGGATTGGTTTTATGCCTAAGCATTATGTGTGGAGATAATTGATGTAGAGAGCAGTGTTTTAACTGTATTATCTAATATAATAGTTCTACTTGGATTGGGGACAAATATCTAGGGGTGAGCATTTAGTTCTGCCAATTCAATTATTTCGGTCAATTTGTAAATGTTCCGGTTAAAAAAAATTAGATTTTCGGTGATCGGTTAAAGGTTTGATTAAAAATTAATTTAACTGAATTACTAAATATTAACCGACTTTCAAACTACGTGTTTTGATTAAATAGATAATAAAATTAAAATAAAAATATTTCAGTTTTTATTTTGATTAAGTAGTGTTTAATAATTTTGGTTAAAGTTCATTAATCATAAATTTCGGTTAATTTCGGTTTGTTAATTAAGTGTTCATTTTCTTCAACTTCAATGTGGTTAATGATCAAAATTAATTCAGAAAAACGATTCGGTTAATTCAAAAAAAATTTTCAATTAATTTACTTCGGTTAAAAATATTACTTAAATTGACTGAATTGGCTGAATGCTTAGCGCTACAGATATGAAATGTATATTGACAATTGGCTGAATTCTCAGCCTTACTTAAAGTTGCCAGAGTACAATTAACCTATTCTGATCGAGGAGAACTGGCCATTCGGCAGGGAGATTCTGAAATTGCGGACAACTACCTTTAGAATGAGAGAGGCATGGACCAATGCAAGAAATCTTACAATAAATTCAATTACATTAGGCATATTTTTTGGTACATCAGAATATTAAATAAGAGAGAGAGAGAGAGAGAGAGAGAGAGAGAGAGAGAGAGAGATAAGAGAAGAGAGAGAGAGAGAGAGAGAGAGAGAGAAGAGAGAGAGAAGAGGTGGTGTAGCTCTCCATGCAAAAAGTCTTTTACTGTTTGGGCCGGTCCTTTATGGTGAGCAAACATCGGTTCGTTCAAACTGAACCTAAATTGACTTGGAAAGACGTGAAACCAAATTTCTAGGAATGGAAAAACGGAACCAACTCCAAACCAGCTAGTTCAGTTGGTTTACATCGGTTTTTGCCGAGTCAGTTGTTTTAAGCCTAATTGATTGAGATTTCTTTAAAACCGAAGAGAACTGTCTGGTTAAGTGGATTAAACCGGCAATTGGATTTTCCATATAAATCAGACTGACCGAAT